CGTCATCCAGAGAGCAACAGCGTGCGGGTAGGTGGACGGGCGAGGGGGCGGGAGGGAGCTGCGGCCGGTCTTCACAGCTACCCCGGAAGTAAGATCTAGCGCTATCTTCGGGGATGTCTGTAATATAAGACCTACCCCGAACTAGGTCTTATTTTCGGGGTAGGTCTTATATTACAGACATCCCCGAAGATAGCGCTAGGTCTTATTTTCGGGGGATGTCTTACTTTCGGGGAAACACGGTAGTACCCCTTTGTTAGGTGTACCCCAAAGAGCTCCACCCCACCTCCCAGCTCCCCACCTATCTCACTCAGATGCCAAGGCAGTCCTCCTTGTAATTACACTTTCACAGGATACAGCTGAAGATCTTCCAGCAGCTGCCTCTAATATCCTTAAATAGCCCGTCCAGGGCAACCATCAGAAATTGTGGGGCCCCGTACACAGCTTTAGGCCTGGTCCCCCCCTCCCGCTCCCCCTTCCCACCAACACTCCACAGGCCTTTTCAACTGGCCATCCCTCCGGATATTTCAGTGCACTTATTTGTATTTTAACACGGTTACAACTTAATATATGAAGGTGAAATGTGTATTCCAAGTCATCCGTGCATTCAATGTATGAGAATAAGAACAAATATTTTGGCCAAAAATTATGAAGCCGTCACAACGACAAGGTAGACTCTTGAGCAGGACCCTACACTAACACTAAGCGCCCTCCCTTAGCACTAAACACTGAGCGCCCTCCCTTATCACTAAACACTGAGCGCCCTCCCTTATCGCTAAACACTGAGCGCCCTCCCTTATCGCTAAACACTGAGCGCCCTCCCTTATCGCTAAACACTGAGCGCCCTCCCTTATCGCTAAACACTGAGCGCCCTCCCTTATCGCTAAACACTGAGCGCCCTCCCTTATCGCTAAACACTGAGCGCCCTCCCTTATCGCTAAACACTGAGCGCCCTCCCTTATCGCTAAACACTGAGCGCCCTCCCTTATCGCTAAACACTGAGCGCCCTCCCTTATCGCTAAACACTGAGCGCCCTCCCTTATCGCTAAACACTGAGCGCCCTCCCTTATCGCTAAACACTGAGCGCCCTCCCTTATCGCTAAACACTGAGCGCCCTCCCTTATCGCTAAACACTGAGCGCCCTCCCTTATCGCTAAACACTGAGCGCCCTCCCTTATCGCTAAACACTGAGCGCCCTCCCTTATCGCTAAACACTGAGCGCCCTCCCTTATCGCTAAACACTGAGCGCCCTCCCTTATCGCTAAACACTGAGCGCCCTCCCTTATCGCTAAACACTGAGCGCCCTCCCTTATCGCTAAACACTGAGCGCCCTCCCTTATCGCTAAACACTGAGCGCCCTCCCTTATCGCTAAACACTGAGCGCCCTCCCTTATCGCTAAACACTGAGCGCCCTCCCTTATCGCTAAACACTGAGCGCCCTCCCTTATCGCTAAACACTGAGCGCCCTCCCTTATCGCTAAACACTGAGCGCCCTCCCTTATCGCTAAACAGTGAGCGCCCTCCTTTATCGCTAAACACTGAGCGCCCTCCTTTATCGCTAAACACTGAGCGCCCTCCCTTATCGCTAAACAC